GTGGTTGAAGTCCCCCATGAGGACCAGGGCTCATGAACATGAGGCAGCTCCTATTTGTCTGTAGAGGGCCTCATCCACCCAGTCCTCCTGGTCAGGTGGTCTGTAGCAGACCCCTACTACTATGTCCCCTGTCCCTGCTCTGCCTTTAATCCTAACCCATAAGCTCTCAGTCAGGACCTCATTCGTCCCCAGGTGTAGCTCCATGCACTCTAGCTGGTCCTTGACATAGAGGGCAACTCCTCCTCCTCTTCTCTCCTGCCTATCCTTCCTAGAGAACCTGTACCCTTCTATTCTGACACTCCAGTCATAGGATTCATCCCAGCACATCTCCGTGATGTCAATAATATCATATCCCAACAGGCGCGCACACACTTCTAACTCCTCTTGCTTATTCCCCACGCTGCGCGCGTTGACATAAAGGCATTTAAGTTGAGCCCCAGATGAATCTGACTTCCTGGCTGGAGCAGCTGGAATTCCCTTCTTCTGTTCTACGGGAGGACGGTATGCATCTAGAGTCCGTGGGACGACCCCCGTTGGTGGGGACGTATTTTGTTTAGAGGAGATGCCTGAGCCTGAGGACAGTCGTGAAGCATGGGCACAGGTAGAGACACATTTAGAGTCTATATGACGACCCACGCCAGAGCGAGTGGCAACAACTCCCTCAGAATCTGAGACTGTGGTAAAGCCTGCACCGGAGCAATCCAATGGGGAAGGATTGCATCTTGTGGGTAGGACTCACGCTGGAGAAGTTTGTGGATTTTCCGCGTGAGTAGGGGATCCACTGGAGCAAGGGAAAAGGATGTAAGGACTCCTCCTCCTTTAAGAAAGGAGCGGAACAACATGTATGAGCTGACTTGCACTCCCCCATTCCCTGTCCCCCTGCACCGCTGGGGGAGGAGGTAGAGCCGGGAAGAAAAGGAAAGGGGGGTGGAGAGGTGTTGTTTTTAAGATCTGGTCTTGTTTTCTTTTTTTCCTCTTAAGTAACTGGTTTTGCTTGTCTTTATTCTTTTAAGTAACTGTTAATAAATTGTTCTGCCTTAAGAAAGCTGAGTCTGTTTTGCTTGGGACCATGACTGGTGGGTGCTCCCTCTGTTCTTGTCTCGACCCTCAGTCCTTTTATTATATTTTTCTCCTCTCCATTTCACTGGAGAAGGAGTGAGAGAGCGGCTGTGTGGGGTTTAATTGCCAGGTCGGCCTTACCCACGACAACATGCAAGGGAAGGGATGATGGTCCCTGACTGTGGAGTAGCCAGAGATGTCGTCCTCATCTCCAAGGGATGGCGACCGAAGGAGGCCCGCAGACAGTGTGTCCTGCCCTCCAATTCCTTTGGAAATGAGAAAGAGTCCACTTCTTCACCCCTTTTTTCCCTCCCAGCATCTCTCCTTTCTCCCTTGACAGCTTTAGAGAGCATCTGCAGAGGAAAGAACCACACAGAGCCAGATGCTGCTATGCAGCAGAGTTTAATGAGTGCAAAGAGGGAAACAAGATGTCTCCAAGAGGGGGCCACAGTGAAAGGTTCACCCTAGGCAGCCATGAGTCAGTGTCCCACAGAGAGAGAGAGAGCAGGCAAGTCCCCCAAGCTGGATTTAGTGAGCCTCATGGCCCAGGGAACAGAACACAATAAAGGAAAAAGAAGGAAAGAAGAGGGTGTCAAAAGGGAATGAGAGGCATTGTCCATGTCTTCAGAGAGCCCAGGCTGTCCCCTTCCAAAGGGCTGACACCCTTGGCAGGAGGAACACGGCGTGCTCAACTCCTCTCAAAACAATGTCCATGATCTCTGTCATTCAGTTGGGCATCATCTTCTGTGTAACCGAGGCTCCTTGTCTGCATTGTCCTCAGTGGCTTCAGCAAGGGGGACATCTGCTGCTGCCACAGTAGCAGCTGGTGATACAGGAGAGGTCACAACAGCCAGAGTTGATGGGCACTCCCTGAGAGCTGAGGATGCTGCCAACGGCAGCGGAGGTGGAGGAGCCCACCACAGTGTTCTGAGTGAAGGAGCTGATGATGGGTCCAGGAAGAATCACCATCATAGAGGAAGGCTCGATGACAACGGTGGAAGGCTGGCACTGCCTGACACAGGGCTTGTTGCAGCTGCTGGCCAGCAGGGTGGGGCTGCAGGCCTGGCAGGGCTGGCACTGGTTGTAGCAGGACATGTCTTAGGGCTGGAGGTGCACCTGGGAGAGAGGGCAAGAAGGAAGCAGAGCACAGGGACACCTCAGGA